ATAACCCAGCCACCCTATCCCTCCCCCTTACCCCCCAGCAACCCTCCGTTTGTTTTCTGAGATTAAGAATCTCTTAGGCTTTCCTCCCTCCCCGGTCCCATCTTGTTTCATTTTTCCCTCCCTTCTCCCCATGGTCCCCCGCCCCCCTCTTAAATTCCTCATATCCGAGAGATCATATGATAGTTGTCTTTCTCTGATTAACTTATTTCGCTTAGCATAATACTTTCTAGTTCCATCCACGTCATTGCAAATGGCAAGATTTCGGGGTTTGTTTCTTTTTACCCACGATTTATTAGGAAAAACTCTTTCCTTTTCATACACAAGACTTTTAGTCTAGACCTGTGGGTGAGAAGCTAAATTCCAAAGGGAAATAATGCTGGGAGGGCATAAATCCTTCCTCAACAATAAAAAAGCACTTATGATAATGATTTATCAGGAAAAATAATCTTTAAATGTAATGATGTTTTTTTAAAGCCATACAATGGAATATTATTTAGTGATAAAAATAAATGAGCTATCAAGCTGCAAAAACACATGTAGGAATCTTAAGTGCATAAACAAAGTGAAAGAAGTCAGTCTGCGAAGTCTGCATACTATGTGATTTCAACTTTATGACGTTCTGGAAAAGAAAAAAAAAACAAACTGCAGAGATAGTGAAAAGATTAGTGGTTTCCAGGGGCTTGGGGGGGAGGTGGGAGAGATGAATAGGTAGTCGGTCCACAGGTGATTGCCCCATCTCCACAGGTGATTTTTTTTTTGAGCAATGTAACTATTCCCTGTGATACTGTAATGGTGAATACACAACACCGTGCATTTGTCAAAACCCATAGACCTGTATAAATAGAGGGATCTGGATGTCAACAATGGATTCAGTTAATGTATCAATATTGGCTCATCAATTGTAACGAATGTACCACACCTATGTATGATGCTAATGACAGAGACTGTGTGAGTACGGCGGGGGTGGGGGGTGCTGGGGGAGGACGCACGGAAATCTCTGTAGTCTATCAACTTTTCTGTAAACCTAAAACTGTTCTAAAAAGCAAAGTTTACTTAAAAAATGTAGGCTATTTTTTCAGGTAAAACAGCTAATTGTTGCAGTTTATAAAATTTGTCTTTAATTTAGGTGAACATTCAGTCCAAAAATCTTTCTCCCTGACAGATCCCTTACTAAATCACATAAATTATTGTCGAATCTTTCTACAATATCCATGTGTGGGCTGGAAACAAGAAGATGTAACTAAAATTCCCTTTAGAAATAATGGTCCGATTGGGGAAGGTGTGTCCTACAGTGAGTACTGTGAAGTGTGTAAACCTGGTGGTTCACAGACCTGTACTCCTGGGGCTAATAATACATTATATATTAATAAAAAATAAAAAATTGAAAAAATAATGCTCCTCAGAGAAGCAAGAAATAATGGAAAGTACACATTTGCTAAAATACTTTCCAATGCTACGTGACATTTCCCTATTAGGAATTAGCAAATTCTACTCTATTAAACCTGTTATACTCTGAACCTGTCCTTTTCATCTACCCTTACTCTAGGAAGCCTAACCTGGGAAAGTGGTTATGTCTAGAAATGAGCAGCAGGCTGTCTGTTTTCTTCCTTCCAGGTCAATTCACACAGAACACCAAAGGGGAAAGGTTGTGCCTTCCGTTCCTCTCAGACAATATTGCCAATGAGTAGAGCGGGAGACAAAATATTGATATGCAACCATGTGATCAATCACCCAAGGACAGGGAGAGGAGGAAAAGGTTTGCAGCTCCCAGAAGTTCTTTCAAGGCTCAAGTTCACCTTTTTACCCATGATTTGTATTCTTTTCCTCACCATCTCAGTCTTTACCACTTAGAAATCTTCCTTAAACTCCTCACCAGAATTTCCTTCAACATGAATGTTGCAAGAAAACAAAAACAACAAAAAAGCAACAACAAAAAACCCATGAGTGTTGCACATTTTAGCTTGTCTGTGTATGGCCCTACCTTTCATCACTGTTTTCTTCATTAGTACACAGTGTTCTCATTATAACGCCATTACTTTAAGGTAGGGGGTCCCTTTGCCAGTGCAATAGGGAGTGCAGTGTGAATTCTCTTAGACCAAGAACTTGAACTCTACCTGTTCAGACTCCTGTTAATTTTTCCAACACCCCCCACCCCACCTCTTGTGATTAAAAGCATGCCAACCATTCCACAAATTTCTTTTGTCTCTCATCTCATAATTTTTGGTCATCTGTATGGTTTCACCTTAGTTTATTTCTACTGACTAAATGCAAAGCTTTTCCCTCTTCTGACACACTAGATTCCCCATCTGAATTATCCTTTTGAACATCCTAACACTCAAATACACTGCATTCTTAAAAATATTGTCCGCCCTTCAGTGTATATTTATTAACCTATACTATGTTCAGGGCTCTGTGCTAGCCATATTTTGGTAAATTTAGATAATTAGTAATGAACTTAAACTATTGCTTATGTGTGTGTGGTGTTCTGAAATGTTAATTCCAAGTTTTAAGAAGCAAATGGGATTGATTTATTTAGCTGCCTAACTAAACAGATAATCTATATTGATGGATGAAATACTTTGTGTATTTGATTAATGTCTTTACTTACAAATATTTCCCTGAAAAAATAAATATATTTGTGTTTTAGAAGTCCATTGCATATGAGAAAACTTATATTTATTTACCAAGTAACTAAACATTTAATGATCAGATTTGTACCCTTTACTGTTTTTAAGACATTTATATTTATTGATCTGTGAGCAGTTCAGGTAAATAATGTTAACCTGAATCTATGTATGCAACCAAAAAATCTGTCACTTGGTTGCTAAGCTGTCTATTGGATTGTGTTAGGCAAGTAAGGGAAATGAAGAAATCCTAACGTGTCTACACTTTAATGGAGTCTTTTTGGAGAATTCTCCCATTAAAATTTTACAGAAAGGTATGGAAATATTAGTAGCATATCAGTAAATTTAGTGCACTGGCAGCTAGTTGACCATACTCAAAGTTGGCTGATCTGGTTCCCCTCAGAAAAGCTGCTCCAGTGGTGTATGTCAGGCCTTTGCGTTCTTGCAGCCTTGTCTACATTTTTATTCTTTGAAGTATCTGAAAATACAAAAGGCATGCTTCTCCAATGTGGAAATGACATGACTCTGGGAGTTATTACCATGTTTGATGGGTACTTTGGAAATCAAAACTGAGATTAAAAGTTTTGATAAGACTTGGAGAGCACAGGGACTATGGGACGGGAACTGGCTACTAGCTTCTAGAAATTAGGGAGGAAATGTGAGAAAGGAAATCAAAGGTTTTCTACTCTACCTTCTAATCTATAAAATCAAATATTGATGTAAAAAGGCAATTAATGCTACAAAAAGCTTTGTTTTTTTAAAAAAATATTTTATTTATTTGATAGAGCAAGCACAAGCAGGGGGAGAGGGAGAACAGACTCTCCGCTGAGCAGGGAGCCCCATTTGGGGCTCAATCCCAGGACCCTGGGATCATGACCTAAGCCAAAGGCAGATGTTTAACTGAGTCACCCAGGTGGTTCTGATTTTCTTAATCATTTTCACCCATGAGATTAAACAGAGATGGTGGTTTGTTAGGAATTGCATTTGGCTAATAATAATAATAATAGAATCCTGAGTGAAGAAGAGGACACAGAGGCTTAGATACATTAGGAACTTCCTCTTCTTTCACACAGCTTGAGGCCAGGAGTCAGGCAGCCCAGGGCTGGTACAGTAGCTCTGTGGTCATGAAGAACTGAGGCTCATTCTCTTTTTCTGTTCTGCCATCCAGGGCATGCATTATCTCATCGACAAGATGACTGGTGGGGTTTCGGTCATCACACGCTCTTATTAAGGCAAAGACCCACACATGCAAAGGCCTTCTGGAAGGAAGGAGCTCAAAGAAGTCCATTTTGGCTGAAGTTTGGAGAAGAAACCTGAAGAGGTAGACATACAAGCCTTTACAGCCCAGCTTAAGGGTTTTAGACTTTTTTAAAAAGCAGGAAGAAAACACAGTGAGTACTTACCATTAAGGAAAGTTTTTCCAATTTATGAGGCCCCACAACTAGTTTGAAAGAGTCCACCTAACACTGGACTGGACAAAAATAACGGAGAAGCCCCTCTTCCCACCAAGCCCCAAGAGCAGCCATCTCCTGTGGAGTTGGGGCGGGGAGCTGGACTGTGGAGAGAGACAGTCTCTGACATGCCAGGAACATAGGGAAGACCTTAAGCTGAAGGTGAACCAGGAACATTGAAAGAAGCCTTCTGGAAAACTAGGCCCCAACATAAGCACAAGATAACACGGAAGATATATGAAGACAGCGGTGTACTGAAAATAACCATAGCAACACCAAGTTCAAATCCAGCTCGACTCCTGACTGCATGGGCTCAACCTCCTCCACTAATGTTAAAGCAGGAGAATAGGGGTGTTTATTCCAGGCCTAAATATGCTTTACCTCGGTCTCTAGGTCTGGCATTCAATCCAACATTATGAAACCCACCAAAAATCAAGAAAAAAAAACTGTAAAAAATGTGCAAAAGGGGCACCTGTGTGGCTCAACAGGTTAAGGGTCTGACTCTTGATTTCAACTCAGGTCATGATCTCAGGGTCGTGAGATGGAGCCCCAGGTCAGGCTGCATGAAGGTGGTATATGCGTATATATACCACCTCTTCTTTGTCCATTCACCTATGGATGGGCACTTGAGTTGCTTCTATACCTTCGCTATTGTAAATAATGTGTAATAAGCATAGGGGTGCCTATGTCTTTTTAAATTGGTGTGTTGGTGGTGGTGGTGTTGTTTTTTTAAGTAAAATACCCAGTAATAGAAGTCCTGGATTATATGATGATATGGTAATTCTATCTTTAATCTTTTTGAGAAAACTCCATGCCGTTTTCCATAGTGGCTGCACCAATTTGCATTCCGACCAGCAGTCCATGAAGGTTCCTTCTTCTTCACATCCTCAACAACACTTGTTATTTCTTGTGTTATTTATTTTAGCCATTCTGACAGGTGTAAAGTGAAGATTTAAGCTTCCACGTTATGAAACTATAAAGAAAAGAGCAAATTAAACCTGAAGCAAACAGGGAAGAATATAATGATGGTAAGAGCAGCAAACAGTGGGATTAGAAGCAAACAAATTACACACACACACACATGCATGTGTATATATATAAATTAATAAAACAAAAAGTTTGCTCTTTGAAAACATAAGTAAATTTGATAAAATTCTGAATGATGAGCAATCTGTCTTAAAAGTAATTTCTGGGTAGATCTTTCTCCTATGTGCATATCAGTAATATAATTTCAGTCATTTGTTCATTTAACAAATATTTACTTATCACTTATGATATACTAAGCACTAATCAGTGTTCAAACCAAAACAAAAATTCTTTCTGACAACCCAGCTAGCAAAATTTTGGTTAAAGTCTACTTTATAAGAAGCTATATATAAATCATGTTTTTTGTAGAATTCTTGTCGACATTTCTCATCAAACAGGATTAAACGCTTTCAGAATGTTTTGCACTGTATCCGTATGGTCAATTTGGCTTTTATGGTAACTGGATTTATATGATCTCCCAAAATACAGAAGCTTGGACAATTACCACCCCCGCCCCTGCCAACACACAGTCCTCTTCTAAGGGAGGAAACAATTTGATTTTAAGAGGAAGTCCACAAACCCAATAGGATTATCTATTTAATGCTAATTTCCTTGCATTTCAGTTCGGGAAGTGTCTCTTGATTTATCTTCAAGCTCACTGATTCTCTCCACAGTGTTGTCTACCTTCCTATAAGCCTGTGAAGGGCATCCTTCATTTGCTACATTGTTTCTTATTTTTAGAATTTCCTTTGGATTATTTCAGTTGCCATTTCCCTTTTTACGTTACCCATCTGTTGAACCCATTTTCCATCAGATCCTTTAACATATTAAACATAGTGATTTTATATTACTGTTTAATAATCCTCCAAATCTGTGTCATAGCTCAGTGTAGTTCTGATGCTTATTTTGCTTTGCAGACTGAGTTCTTTCTTGCCTTTAGCCTTGCTGTTCTTTATTGAAAACTGGCTGTGGTATCTTGGTTAATAGGGATGGAGATAAATAGGGATATGAGGGTTTTTATTCTGTGACTAGGAGTTGGGTTGTGTTTAATATTTGCTGTAGCTCTTCATTCTAGAAGCTTTTAATTCCCCTAGTGTTTTTGTTTTTGTCTCCTGTTGTCTGTGGATTTTTTTTTTTTAAGATTTTATTTATTTGACAGAGAGAGATCACAAGTTGGTAGAAAGGCAGGCAGAGAGAGCAGGGGAAATAGACTCCCCGCTGAGCAGAGAGCCCGATATGGGGCTCGATCCCAGGACCCTGAGATCATGACTTGAGCCAAAGGCAGAGGCTTAACCCACTGAGCCACTCAAGCGCCCCTGTCTTTGGATTTCTCTAAGCATTCCTTGTTAGTGTGTGTTTGCAGTCCTTGCAGCTATCCTTAACTGTTATTATATGGAAGCACTTTTGGTGCAGTGGGAAAGTGTGGGAAGAAGAGTATTCTATCATTTAACATTAAACCTCTTTTAGTGTCCTGTGACCTTCACAAGTGTTTCTTACCTCCCTCCTCTCTACTTACAAGAGACAGAAAGGCTGGAGGATGCTGTGGTCAGAGAACTGTCCTTGCCCTGGGTGGGATATGGCTTTACTAAAGTCTTTTCTTCTGGAAAGTAGGCCTTTATTAAGGAGAAGGCTCTGGATGTATTTGACAGTAATTATTAATCTTATCCCCCTGCTAGAGCCACAAGAGATCTTTCTTGGTTTTTCATGGTGAGAACTTGCTGGAGTTCCTGGAAACAAAACCCATGGAAGTGTTGGTGCCTCCCAAGACTGCAGTCTCCAGGAGCTTTACTCACACTAGCCCCACCCAGTCTCCAGGAGTTCATCAAAATTACCATTCAAGTATTCGTCCATTATGGCTTCAGAGACTTCTGCTCTAAGTAAGTGGGTCTCGGATATGACTCCCCTCATCCCTCCAAACTTCAGGGTTGTGGTGTGTCCTGTGACCTCAGTTCTGTGATGACTCCAAGAAAAATTTTAGTTTTTAGTTTGTTCAGCTTCTTCCGGTAGTGAGGATGGAAGGGACAACATCGAGTTTTTACATTTTGGAGCTAAAACTGGAAGTTCTCTTGGTTTTTAATCTTTTTTTTTTTTAATTTCTTTTCAGCGTAACAGTATTCATTGTTTTTGCAGCACACCCAGTGCTCCATGCAATACGTGCCCTCCCTAAGACCTAGCACCTTGTTCCCCTAACCTCCCACCCCCAGCCCCTTCAAGACCCTCAGGTTGTTTTTCAGAGTCCGTAGTTTCTCATGGTTCACCTCCCCTTCCAATTTCCCTCAACTCCATTCTCTCCATCTCCCCATGTCCTCCATGTTATTTGTTATGCTCCACAAATAAGTGAAACCATATGATAATTGACTTTCTCTGCTTGACTTATTTCACTCAGCATAATGTCTTCCAGTCACGTCCATGTTGCTACAAAAGTTGGGTATTCATCCTTTCTGATGGAGGCATAATACTCCATAGTGTATATGGACCACATCTTCCTTATCCATTCGTCCATTGAAGGGCATCTTGGTTCTTTCCACAGTTTGGCGACCGTGGCCATTGCTGCTATAAATACTGGGATACAGATGGCCCTTCTTTTCACTACATCTCTATCTTCGGGGTAAATACCCAGTAGTGCAATTGCAGGGTCATAGGGAAGCTCTATTTTTAATTTCTTGAGGAATCTCCACACTGTTCTCCAAAGTGGCTGCACCAACTTGCATTCCCACCAACAGTGTAAGAGGGTTCCCCTTTCTCCGCATCCTCTCCAACACATGTTGTTTCCTGTCTCGCTAATTTTGGCCATTCTAACTGGTGTAAGGTGGTATCTCAATGTGGTTTTGATTTGAATCTCCCTGATGGCTAGTGATGGTGAAGCAGACATATTGCTGCCCATGGTGGACTTCAAATCAGGTAACACGAACTAAGTCAGGTTCTCACACTACTTAATTGTGTTGTTGTTGTTTTTAAGATTTTATTTATTTGGCAGAGATCACAAGTAGGCAGAGAGGCAGGCAGAGAGAGAGAGGAAGGGAAGCAGGCTCCCCACTGAGCAGAGAGGCTGACATGGGGCTCCATTCCATCACCTCGGGATCATGACCTGAGCTGAAGGCAGGGGCTTTAATCCACTGAGCCACCCAGGTGCCCCTGTGTTGTTGTTTTTAAGGGATTTCTCTGTCCTCTCTAAAATGAATTTATTTTACTAATTTCCCTGACCCATTCCTATTCTTAAATGCTTCCATTTTAAATGGACTTTAGCGTTTACCGGCCAATGAAATAAACTTGATCACTGCTGCCACCATCTATCTGCCCCACTGGCACCTGGATTATGTATTCCACGGCAGAGCGTCCCAGTGTCCCAGTGACCCATACATTTTATTACCAGAGTTTACCAACATCTGTCGGGGGTTGAGGTGAAGGCGGCTGCAAGTACACGCTACCCAAAAAGCCTCACAGTTACCTATCTAGAGGGACGGTGACCGTGCCTCCTCCTGCTAGAGATGAAGCCAGCCCTCAACACAGGCAGAATGGGCATTGAGGGCACAGGATGTTCTGAGTAGAAAGTACTTTGGCACGATGTACTAGACAGGAGTTTGCGTATTTCTGTGTAAACAGTTTCCACAGACCTCCCCTTGACTCCCAGCCCCACCCAAATCACAGAATCCAGCCGCTTGAGGGAAATCGTGAGCGCCCTAAGGCACTGCAAAGTGCTTGTGCCACGATAGGGGATCTGAACTTCCCGCCTGTCTCTTAGAGCTGGAGAAGTAGCCTCCCAGCCAGCCTCCCAAGAAGCTCAGTGCCGATTGGCTCTTGCTGCGCCCAATGGGAGACCGTACCCTGCGCAGGTGGGCCCTGCGCTCTCTAGGGAGGCGGCAGTTGCCAGGAAACCGCGGAAACATCGGAGCTCTCAGCCCGCCATCGCTTTTGCAGCGAGCGGTGGTGGCGGCTGGATCCTCAGAGCGGGATTTTCCTCCTCCAAGATGGTGAGCCTGTCGGGGGTCTCGAAACTATTTGTTTATCTATTGATTTAATTGTAGTTTAGAGCCGGATGCATCTAAAAATAGGATTTGGAGTGCCTAATCGGAGAATTAAGTGGGAGAACCTGTTCAATTTGCTTTCAGAAGCCTCATGTGCTATTGTTTAAGCAACGCTCGCGGTGGCTTCCAGCCTTTTTCAAATTTTCCCCAGACTCTATTAGATCTGCCTGATGAAAATTTTGTTTGGCACCCCCCCATTTTTTTTTTTTTTTGCCATATTTCTGGAAATTTGGGAAAAGATTAAGAACCTTGAACAAATAAGTGGGGAAGAAAGTCCAGGAGAGAGCAGATGAATTAGGTAGCAGCAGGTTGACCTGTTAAATCTGTATTAGGAAAACCTGACCAGCTTCTTTCTGAATGATACTTTCTGGCCAAGGGGTAAAGGAGGCTCGGGGGGCGGGGGGGGGGGGGGCGGTGTGTAGCGGGGAATGAGGAAAGGAATTCGGTGTGTTGTGGTAAAGAGCTAGGTCTATAGAGCTCACCTGCGTGTCTTTGAATACTAGTACTGTTTTAAGCCGAGGAACCTTGGGTAAAGTTGCTTTTACTTTTCATGTCTCATCTATAAGATGGGGAATAATAAAAGTAATTTATTGATATATCAATTATGTTTATCTACCATATGTACTTTTTTATTGTGTTACATTTCTCTGAATTTAGGAAGGAAGCCAAGGGCCCTTTGTTTATTCTGTTATCTATTTTTGTACCAGGGGCTTGCAGCGGTATACTTTTAAAAATTAGATATTGGAATACCAAAGTATGAGTACTTTTTTCCCCCATTATAGGCTTCTAGAAGGCGAACTTTGAGTTTCAGTGAAAGGCATCAGAAACAAGTAGATACAAATTACTGCAAACAACTACATGTCCAGTCCATAAGAAAGATACAAAATCAAATCAGGGACCAAATGGTACAGAATGAAAATGATGACCTCGTGGAGCGCAAGAGATTCCTCAGATTATTACAGGATGAACAATTTGAGTTGGATATGGAAGAGGCCATTCAAAAGGTACATTTTACTATTCATTGACTTTTTTTCTTCATTTTTTCATTGGAAATGATGAAAACCAGCTGCTGATGCTGGAATTGAGTAGATAGATAATAAGATCAGGTAAAGGATGACTCATCGTAAGTCAGACCAATGTAGTGGTAAAGAGCTGGGTTTTGGAGTTAGACTGTATGACTTTAAATCCTAGTACGGCTGTATGTAAGCATGCTCTGGAGCCCTGGGTAAACTGACTTTACTTTTCTGCCTCCTCTATAAAATGGCAATTATAATAGTATCCGTTTTGTAGGAGTTTTAATAATTAATGAGTTACTACATGCAAAGCACTTGGAATAGTGCCTGTAACAGTAAGACTCAACTTTTTTGTGGTTGTTGTTTTTTAATTTTTTTTCATAAACATGAAATCCATAATTACTGACTTCCACAGTTTTGTTCATATAAGTAAAATTCGGCTACTTTCCATAAAATTCGAAAGACAAAAATTTAAGAGTACCTTTTTTGAATTTATTGAGATTAAACATGTACATTATTCAGTGGTAGAAAATGAACATGTATGTATTAGGTATGATTTACTTATTTTTGATTTTGAAATACTGCCTTGAAGAATTCAAGTACAGTATCTATATAATTCCTAAAATATGGAGATAATTTTTTCATGGAAACTTCTAAATATTTTAAAGAATGAGGCTGGTAAAAAAGGGAAACCAATTAGAAATGAGTTCTCTTAAATGAAAGTTTCTCTGATATTTCAGAATTTTTCAAGTTCCTGCTGTATATTCAACATTTTGTAGGATATTGTGAGGAATAGCAAAAGCAACTTTTTAAAAGTGGTATCCATTCCTCTGAGTTCCAAATTCATAAGGCTTAGACATGATTTTTCAACTCTGAGCAATAAGATCCTAGGGATTAGATATTTTCCTCTTCTTTTTACTCTTATTTTTTCTTTAATTTTAAAGAAAATCCCAGATATCATATCACCTCTTTCATGTATACTTCAGTATGCATCTTACAAAATAAAGATACTTTCTTACATAGTAGTAGAATAATGCCACTATCTCAACTACTAAAATTAACAGTAAATTCTAGGTATTGTTTAATGCCATTCCATAATCAACGTTTTGTGATTGTGTCAAAATTGGTTTTAACAGTTGGTTTGTTTTAATCAGGATCCAAATAAGGTTCATACAGTATATTTGGTTGTTATGTCTGCTAGGTACCTCTTAGTCTAAAACGGTCCTGCCCTCTTCTTTTTTTTTTTTTTTTTTTTAAGAGTGGGAGAAAGAGGCTGGGGGGAGGGACAGAGGGAAGAGGTTAGAGAGAATCTTAAGCAAGGCTCCATGCCTAGTGCAGAACTGATATGGGGCTCTATCTCACAACCCTGAGATCATGACCTGAGCGGAAGTGAAGAGTCAGATGCTTAACTGACTGAGCCACCCAGGCACCCCCATCCTTTTTTTTTTTTTTTTTTTAACTTCATATTTCTAACTTGTTAAAGTAGGCCAGCTGTTTTTTGATATCCCATATTCTGAAATTGCCTGTTTGCTTTCTCCTTTGTTCATTTAATTTGTTTCCCTAACGTCTATATTTTTTTCAAAATGGAAGTTAATCCTAAAGCATGATTAGATTTAGGTAGAACTTTCTGGTAATCACTCCATAGTTGATGCTATGCTTGATATTGTACCACATCTGCAGGCACATGATGTGTCTGCTTGGTGCACTTGTAGTGATGCTAGTGTTGATAAACATGTACATTCTAGTACCTCTGGTGAGGCATTCTGGTTCCTCTGCTGTAAAATTCCTGATGAACCTTTCACCTGTAGTTTCACCAATGAATCTTTCCTTTCATTAGGGGTTGCAAAACACTGATTTTCTAATTTTGTTATTCCTTTCACATTTGATTAGCTGAAATTCCTGTGTAAAGAACTTTCCCGCAACAACTAGGATTTTTCGGTACCTGAAATATAGTTATTACTGGAAAGGGAGACATATACTTAACTTTCAGAATTGGTGCTCTGGTCACTTCCATTGGTGTCTGTCAATGTTGTTTTTAAACGTTTTCTTTAGTTTTTGACTTTTTCTTTTTGTAAAAAATCTTTATGGACTCATGGGTCTTTAATACTTGAATTAATTGCCTTTATTATTATTTTTGATACTCAAATTGTCCCATTTTTGGCCAATGGATGCCTTTATTGGTTTTGTGACCTTTTAACAAGATTCCTTTAATCTGTGATAGCTTCCTTCCTTTCTGTCAGAACAAAATGCCTGGGCTAGTGATGGTTAATTTTGTGTGTTGACTTTCACTGGGCCATGTGGTGCCCAGATAGTTGGTCAGACATTATCGGGTGTTTTGGGATGAGATTAACATTTAAACTGGCACAGTGAGTAAAGCAGATTGTTCTCTCTAATGTGAGTGGGTCTCATCCGATCAGATGAAGGCCTGAATAGGACAAAATGGCTGAATAAAAGGAAACTGCTCCTTCCTCCTTCCTGACTGCCTTCTAATCAGGGCTTCAGCTTTTTTCCTGTCTTCATACTTGAACTGAAGTATCCGCTTGTTTTGAATTTCAAGCCTGTCAGCCTTCAGATAGGAACTACACCATTGGTTCTTTTATTTCTCAGGCTTTTCTGCTTAGACCGGAGCTAAACCACTCTCCTGGGTCTCAGGCTTCATGACTCACCTTCAGATCTTGGGATCACTTGAGCTGACTAATTATCCTATTTATTTTTCTCTGGCTAATGCAAGGCTCATCTTGTGAATTTCTTGTTTCACACCTAGAGTCAGCCATCATATCGAAGAGCTCTATTATTGTCTAGTAGAAATAATATTTAGAGACAATTTCTTAGATAAATTTAGATTTATAATGGAGTTGCAAAAAATTGTATAGAGAATTCCTGTATACCTTTTACCTGGTTTCCCTTTATGTTAAAATCTTACATAATCATAGAAGAATTATCAAAATGAAGAAATTAGCCTTGGTACAATGTTTTACTATAGGATTTATTCAGATCGCTTCAGTTTTTCCCATTAACTTCTGTTTTTTGTTCCAAGAATACAAACTGCCTTAGTTGCCTTGTCTCCTTGGTCTCCTCCAATCTGTAAAAATTTTTTACTTTTTCCTGTCTTTCGTGACCTTGACAATTTTAAAGACTATAGTTCATTTATTGTATTAGTTTTCTGTGGCTGTTTAACAAATTACCACAAATCTAGTGGCTAAAAATGTTTATTACCCCCACGGTTTCTGTAGATCAGAAATCTAGACACGGTATGTCATTGGATTGACTGCTTCGCCTCACAGGGCTGAAATCCAGTTGTTGTCTAGAGTGCATTCTCATCAAATCTTCTAAGTTTATTTAAGTTGGCAGAATTCATGTTCTCGTGGTTGTAAGACTGAGGCCCACATCTCTGAGAGATTGCTGACATTGCCGGCCACATGATCCTCTCCACAACGTGGTAGTCTGCCTCTGGTTTTCCAGTTTTCTTCTTGGTGTTGATTTCTAGTTTATACCATTGTGGTTGGAAAAGGTGCTTGATATGATATCAATCTTGAATTTATTGAGACTTTTTTTTGTGGGCTAACATGTGATCTATCCTGGAAAGTGTTCCATGTGTACTTGAGAAGAATGTGTATTCTGCTGCTTTTGGATGAAATGTTCTGTATATATCTATTAGGTTCACCTGGTCTAAGGTGTTATTTAAGGCTGATGTTTCCTTACTGATTTTCTTATTTCTGTCAGATGATGTAAGTAAGGTGTTAAAGTTCCCTATCATTACTGTATTGCTGTCAATTTCCCCCCTTTCAATGTATTAATATTTTCTTTATATATTTTGGTGGTCCTATATTGGGTACATATATACTTATGAACTTTACATCTTCTTTCTTGATTGACCCCTTTATCATTATGTAATGCCCTTCTTTGTCTTTTATTAGTCTTTGTTTTAAAGCTTATTGTGTTTGATATGAGTATAGCTATACCAGTTTTCCTTACTTTTCCATGGATATTGTTTCCCTTGTGGTTTGTTGTCTTTCTTTAGTGTTGTGTTTAGATTCCTTTCTCATTTTCTTTTATTTTCTGTAAGTTTTTGCTTTGTGGTTACCATGGGCTAATCTATGTTTATAACATATGTAACATCCTATGAATAGAACATTCTATTTCAGCTTGATACCAAATTATACTTGAACTCATCCAAAACTCTACGTTTTTACCACCCCCCAACATTTTATTTATTTATTTATTTTTTAAAAGATTTAATTTTTTATTTGACAGAGAGATCACAAGTAGGCAGAGCGGCAGGCAGAGAGAGAGAGAGAGAGAGAGAGGAGGAAGCAGGCTCTCTGCTGAGCAGAGAGCCTGATGTGGGGCTCAATCCCAGGACCCTGGGATCATGACCTGAGCTGAAGGCAGAGGCTTTAACCCACTGAGCCACCCAGGCACCCCACATTTTATGTTTTGATGTCACTTTTTACCCCTTATTTTATGTATCCTTTAATTATTGTAGTTTTAGTTTATTTTACTGTTTTTGTCTTTTCATACTAGCTTTATAAGTTGATTTATCCACCACCTTCACTACATTTTTACCTTTCCAGAGAGATTTTTACTTTCATATGTTTTCTTGTTAATCAGTACCGTTTTTCAGCTTACAAGGTCCCTTTAACATTTCTTGAAAAACCATTTAGTGGTGCTGAACTCCTTTAGCGTTTGCTTATCTGAAAAACTCCCTCTCCTTCACTTCTGAGTGTTAACTTGCTGGGTAGAGTACTCTTGGTTGGAAGTTTTTTCCTTTCAGCACTTTGAGTATGTCATGTCACTCCCTTCTTGGCCTGCACAGTTTTTGTTGAGCAGTCTGCCTTGTGGGTTTTGTTTTGTTTTGTTTAATATGTAACAGATGGCTTATATTGCTTTTAAGTTTTCTTTTTAACTTTTGACATTTTAATTATAATATGTCTTGGTGTGGATCTCTTTGCGTTCATTTTATTTGGAATTCTCTGGGCTTTCTAGACCTG